CCCCATTACCCAGTATCCGGTGTACTGGGGCATTATACGGAGCGATCAAGAGAAAATAGGCTGGGCCGAGCAAGTGCGTCGTTAGATCAGTGTCGATGATCAGAGCAAACCCAGCAGGCCGCATCTTTGGCTACGGCCCATGCTAGAAAAGGCGACTTTACGCAGGCTGCGAGGCCCAGGCCCGCGGTCCTGCGATCCTACGATCCCGCACCTGTCCACGACCAAAGTCCAGACGGATCAGGGAATGACGACCGGGATGGATCAACAGGCGCCGCAGGGAGGCGCTTTCTCCTGGCTGGTAGCACCAGTAAGATCATCATCAGCCTATTGATTCCTCTTCTTTGTCGATGCCGGTAAGGCTTGGCCGGACCTGGAGTCACGGACGGAGAGGCTGGAGATAGGTGAGGGTATCTGTATGCGAGCCATTAGGACGAGAGTCTTGGCACGCGTGCACAGCTTCCCGTGCTGTGTAAGGCGTTGAGGAGGCGAACCGCAGATCGAGCTGGTCTAGGGGCAAGGGGACGATAGCACAAGCTCCAGGCCTAAGGATTTCTGTGATCTTGAGTCCTTTTACCCCAGGCCTGGTGAAGGCTGGACACAGCCGGTCCCGTCAGCCTCTGCAGCTGCGTGAGTGTGCTTGTGCCATTCTCAGCTTCAAGACAGATCCTACAGACGAGGCGCCTGCTCGAGGCGGGGACATGAGACGTACGCCAATAGGCCAAGGCAGGCGTGAGATGCAGGAGTCTGCATGTATATACATCACTCGCGACAAACTGCTCCCTGTACACACTGCGAGCTCGGTGCTGTCCGGGGGTAAGAAGGATGCAGGTGCAGGCGACTGCGACAGTGGAATGGCCCCTGGGGCTGCTGCTACGGACTGGCCGCTGCTCTCCGCTGTGGTTGTCATCGCATGACGTGCCGCAGAGCCTCGCCCCAAAGCTCCTCCCTTGACATGTGGATGGGTCGGGGCAGCCCCGGTCCCTCGCTCCAGCTGCTGTATGCGATGCCTATCGATGCCCGAGCCTCGTCGTCATCCCCACGACTTGTGCTCTTCTTGTCT